TTAATTGCTATTTAACTGGGAATAAGCCACAATTAAAGATAAAAATACGTTTATGGAGTACCGAAAATTCATAAATACACAACATTTTTTAAATAAATTATCAAATATTGAATTTAATTCAAATAATACTTTGGTAAGTTTTGACATAAATAGTTTATTTACGAATGTGCCATTAAATAAGACTTTAAGTATAGTCAAGACAAAATTAGAGAGTGATGATTCATTGGCAACTAGAACAAGACTAAACATATCGGCTATAATGGAGTTATTAACATTATGTACTGATAATACATATTTTCAACTAAATAATGAATTCTATAAACAAAATTTTGGTCTAGCAATGGGCTCTAGTTTATCTCCATTCTTAGCCGATATATTTATGGAAGATTTTGAAACGAATATCATTTCTAAACAAAATTTAAAACCCACAGTATGGTGGAGGTATGTAGATGATGTATTCTCAATATGGCCTCATGGATCAGAGTTGTTGGACACATTCCTAAATGATATAAACGATAAAGAAGAGACAATAACATTTACCATGGAAAAGGAATATAATAACACGCTACCTTTCCTGGATGTTTTAATCTCTAAGAACGATACTGGATATCAGACTCAGGTGTATAGAAAACCAACACACACCAATAGATATTTAAATTTCAAATCAAATCACAATATTAATGTAAAAAAGGGAATAATTAAATCCTTATACGATAGAGCCAAAATTACTTGTTCTAACGAAAATTCGTTCTTGGAGGAGAAACATTTGTTAACATCTGTTTTATTAAAAAATGATTATCCTTTATCGTTTATAAATAAGGAATTTTCAACAATCGATCGAATAGAACAGAACAACTTAGAACGAGATCCTACAGCATACACAAGGAATAATACGAGGAAAATAACAATACCGTACATAAAAGGATTATCAGAAAAACTTAAAAGGATAGGCAATAAATTCAACATTTCAACAACATTCAAAACAACAAACACGTTGAGATCTATTTTGTCCAAAACCAAACCTAACGATGAACAAGAAAGGACAAAGAATTGCATTTATAAAATACCTTGTGAATGCGATCAGTTTTATTTAGGTGAAACATCAAGGCCATTAAATGTTAGAATAAGTGAACATCAATCTTATATTAAAAATAGAGAATTTGATAGATCTCAAATATGTAAACACGCATGGGATAATGAACATAGGGTTCAATGGAATAATTCAAATGTAGTCCTAAAAGAGACGGATGGTAAAAAAAGAAAAATCAAAGAAGCGGCTTTAATTATGCTAAATGAGGCCAATTGTGTCGCAAATTCCTCGGCAGAATGTAGTAGGATCTGGTTACCAATATTGAAAGAGGAAGTTATTAATAAGAAAATACCAGTATTAGTAAGTCAGTAACATATAGAGGATACATCATTTATGTTTTTTAAATAACGAAACATATAAAATCAGAATTTTGGTGTTTATTGAAGGTAAACTAATTGCACGAACAAATACTTACCATGTCGGGATAGTATTATGAGGTTTTTTTCCTGGTTTTTCCCTCATAATTTACTATGGAATCACTAACAGGAGAATTTTACTGTCATCATGTCATGTGTTTGTCTTTTTAAAGACGAATTATATGCTATGATTTTTTTCTGACGGATATTCTCAAGTTAAAGTTGATTTCATGTAATCGAATGAACTATCTTATAAGTAAAGTCGTCCCAGGAGCGCAACTCAACAATATTGGCAATATCATTTTAAAGTCGTCTACTTTAAAATGCATAATGTATGTCTGAATTGTCAATATAAATGAGTCAGATAAAATTAAATTATTAGAAGAATTTTTCACTATGTAACAAAAAACAAAATTTGTTTAATTTACTGTTTGTATTTTGAGAACGATTTCCGAAGTGGAAATTGAAACGTCAATAAACGTATTTTTATCTTTAATTGTGGCTTATTCCCAGTTAAATAGCAATTAATTTAAAATGCCACAAGAAAATAGCTTCAGAACACTTTTATGAGATCTCCGCCAAATCTTGGACCCAAAGTACAAGAAATCGCCCATGCAAAAAGTTGTTTAAATTTTTTTAAACATTTTTTTTAAACAAACAAAAACAAAAAGGTAAGATATCGAAGGAAAACAAGTAGAAAGAGTGAATACCTACAAATATCTGGGAACCTGGTTAAATGAAAACAATGATCAAGTTAGAGAAATAAGGACACGCATTGAAATTAGAGATGACAAAGTCAGTTCCATCAAGGGATCAGGTGCAATGACTCCGATTCCGACTGCAGACTCGGTTCATTTTTGCAGGTGCAGGTGCACCTGGTAACCTTAACAGGTTTTGACAACAAATTGTAACTAAATCACTTCACTTTCTCAGATCAATCTCAATTTTTCGCGCTTTACGCTTTGAAAAGTACAATATCTTTCTATGGTTTAAAGTATACAGAAAAGTAAAGAATGTCTCTTAAATATATACTAGTTACGGAAGAAAGGTAAGAGGACGTATACACTTTGCAGTATTTACTGTTGTAATATGGACTTACAAAAACTATCATGTTTGTAGCCATTATTGTTACTTTAATTTTATGTTATGATATATTAAAAATATGAACCCAAACTATTTTTATTCTCTATGGAATGTTACAATTGCTTGTTGTAGTTATTAAATAAATACCATATAATTATGTTCACTAATAGATGGCCGAGGGCTGTCGCACGACCGGTAATTCCCAGGAAATATCATGAATGTGTTGCTTGTGTGAGTCCATTTCAAATAGGTAAAGAAATAATAAATAAGACTTACTCACAATCAATTTAATTTAACTATCAGACGACCGGTTTCGCTTTCTACAATATGCAAAGCATCCTCAGGTCTCGATACAAAGTTAAATAAATGCTGAAATGATAAAAACCCATATTAGGGTGTTGTCTAATAAAGATAAACAAAGTAGATGTTGTAAATTACAATAATTATGCCAATATTACATGTCTGTGGTTTTATTTCAAAAAGAGTAAGTTGAATAAAAAGGTATAAAAGTTTTAAAAGTTTAAACAGACAAGGTAAGGCCCACAAATTGTTATAAAATAGTCTATTAGATTGTAATAAATTAATAAATGAGCAAATAAATAAAAATAAACATTACTTACATGCCGGTACTCTATTAATTGATGGATGGTAGAACATGGTTGAAACTACTATGTATTGTTGAATGGAGAACTCAATTCTGCTATTGTAGTTGTTTGACAGTAAACGGGAAGTTCTTGAGGAGATAGATTTGATCCAATGAAGCAGAGATATGTGTGTGATTGTTTGTTAAATGAAAGTGATGTAATATACCATTGTATTATTAAAAGTTATTTATACTTATTCGAGAGATATATTTATGAAATGTGTGTTATTTATTGAGTAATTGTTTTATGAAGGTGACAGTTTTATGACAATGAATAAGTTTAGATGTACAAATTGTGTGGGTGTGCAATTATTTTTCAACTTGTAGTTATCAAATTACTTTGATAAAGTTCTATTGGCAAAATAGTAGATTATTGCAAAGTCAATAGATTAGACCGTCGTGAGACAGGTTAGTTTTACCCTACTGATGACTCGTCGTTGCGATAGTAATCCTGCTCAGTACGAGAGGAACCGCAGGTTCGGACATTTGGTTGACGCACTTACTCGAGCGGGTAATGGTGCGAAGCTACCATCCGTGGGATTATGCCTGAACGCCTCTAAGGCCGTATCCTTTCTAGTCAAAGGTGGCAACGATATCTCTTGGAGTTCCGAGAGTCGAAAGGCTCAAAACAATGTGACTTTACTAGGCAATCGTAGTTCGCTACGATTGTCGCACGAGCCCTTATTTCCGTTGAGATTATCGGTTTACGGTGGGATCGATCCTTGCCAGTAGACCAGATCTTTAGACGGACGAACATGGGTATTATAATCTTTTCGATGTTGGAACTCGGAATTGTCTGAATTGGAATTCTATTGGCAAAATAGTAGATTATTGCAAAGTCAATAGATTATTGCCAATAGAACTTTATCAAAGTAATTTGATAACTACAAGTTGAAAAATAATTGCACACCCACACAATTTGTACATCTAAACTTATTCATTGTCATAAAACTGTCACTTCATAAAACAATTACTCAATAAATAACACACATTTCATAAATATATCTCTCGAATAAGTATAAATAACTTTTAATAATACAATGGTATATTACATCACTTTCATTTAACAAACAATCACACACATATCTCTGCTTCATTGGATCAAATCTATCTCCTCAAGAACTTCCCGTTTACTGTCAAACAACTACAATAGCAGAATTGAGTTCTCCATTCAACAATACATAGTAGTTTCAACCATGTTCTACCATCCATCAATTAATAGAGTACCGGCATGTAAGTAATGTTTATTTTTATTTATTTGCTCATTTATTAATTTATTACAATCTAATAGACTATTTTATAACAATTTGTGGGCCTTACCTTGTCTGTTTAAACTTTTAAAACTTTTATACCTTTTTATTCAACTTACTCTTTTTGAAATAAAACCACAGACATGTAATATTGGCATAATTATTGTAATTTACAACATCTACTTTGTTTATCTTTATTAGACAACACCCTAATATGGGTTTTTATCATTTCAGCATTTATTTAACTTTGTATCGAGACCTGAGGATGCTTTGCATATTGTAGAAAGCGAAACGGGTCGTCTGATAGTTAAATTAAATTGATTATGAGTAAGTCTTATTTATTAAACAATCGCAAAATAGTTTCGAAACACAATTCAGATTTCCGCTTTTATCTGTGCTTTCTAAAAATTGCAAAGCAAAATAGACGTTGATAAAGGTGTTAAAAGAGACGTGGGGAATCTAAAATTTGCATTCCACGACACATCTTTTCAACTAAGCAGAAATCCTTAGCGAATTGGTTTCTAGTACTCGTACAGAGTAAATCCGATTGTTGCTTCTTAAAAGACAGAAAATATTGATCTTTCACGTTAAGAACACCTTTGAATAACTGTTCTGATGAGACCTATTAGGTCGAAATACGTATCAACAGATACAAAGGCGCTGTTTGCGTGAAATCAAATATTTGCTGTCTTTTTCACTTTCACTCTTATTTGTTATTTCTTTACCTATTCCCAGGAAATAATTTGTTCAAGAAGAGGAAATATCCAATGTTTGTCCATAAATGGTGAAAGCTTTTTGGCAGTAACAATATATTTTGTAGATAAATTGTTTAACGTCCGACAAATGTTACTAAAATGCCACCAACTTAATGAACGACATACTAGCATTAATTTATCAAGAGCATTGCAAACTATTATAGAAGAATGGTCACTAATAAATAAGGTATCTCTCATAGTTTCCGACAATGCGGCGAATATTAAAAAAGCAATAGAAGACTTGAATGAAGCATCTTGGCTGTTTTGCACATAGTTTAAATTTAATTGTGCAAGATGCTTTAAAACTAGTTGAGCCGATCGTCACCAAAGTAAAATTAATAGTGACCCACTTTAAAAAAAGTTCAGCAGCTAATGATAAATTATTGCAGTATCAAAAAAATTTAGGAACTAGTTGCCCAAAAAAAATTTGTAAGACGTTTCTACAAGGTGGAATTCCACCTTTGCCATGTTACAGCGATTTGTGGAATTGGAGGAGGCAATACGATCGACAATTGCTCTCTTAAACATTTCGTTACCTATAATAACGTTAGAAGAATGGGGCTTGCTAAAAAATTTGGTAGACATTTTACGCCCTTTTGAAACTGTAACTTCATCAGTTAGTGGGGAAAAATACATATCGGCGTCATTAGTAATTGTATTTACTGGAGGTCTAATAAATGTAATGGAGGAAATGATTACTTCTGGCGAACTGAAATCAGATTTATCAAACCAAGTTATTGGTAAACTAAAAAATGGACTCCAAACACTAAAAACTCCAAACAAAACTAAAAAATGTTACGCTGGCTGCCAATACGTTTTTAGATCCACGTTTCAAGCTTCTACCATTTCAAAGCGCTGTAGCTGCAGATCAGATAAAGAAAAAAGTGACAAATATGGCAGCAGATCTCGTTGCACAAATTAGGGCTCCACCGCAGACAGAATGGAAAAAGAACCGACTACTAGCAGTGAATCAACGAGAAGCAAATAGTCGCTTTGGTCTTTTTAGATAACAAAATATCTAAAAAACAACCGGTAGGGACAGGGATCAGTAAAGCTATCATTGAAGTGCAGCGTTATATTGAAGATGATATCTTAAATAAAGACGAAGATTCCCTTCTTTGGTGGAAAACCAATCGACATAATTATCCCACTTTAAGTTCACTTGTAAGAAACAAGTTTGCTTTAGTCACATCTGTTCCATGCGAACGTCTATTTTCGACAGCTGGACAAATTTTGAATGAAAGACGTACGCGATTAAGTGCTCAAAAAGTCGAAAAATTATTATTTTTGCATATTAAAAATGACTTTTTAAATTTTAGACATTCTAGCCTATAAATATCATTTTGCGTATTTGTTTTTTTTATACTTAATATTGTAATAAAACTATTTTTATTAAAGAATTTATTTTTTAATAGCTATTTATTTTTTTGACACCTTGCAGTGTAATTTGACACCACATTAATTATCATAAAAAAAAACAAACTTGCTCAAATAACATCCTTGCCCATTCCCTAACTGCTACGAGTGACCCGATACCAACCGAATTTTACCATCTCGAATTAGAGCATACAACGAACCAGTTCAGCAGCAGGGCCAAGCTATAATCGATTCACTATTCAGTTATTAATCCCAGTCGAGTTCCAAATTCCGTTCCGATTCCGACTATGCCGCTCGGCCGTTGCCGAACGAATCCAAATATTCCGAGTCCGAGTTCCAAAACTTGATTCGAAGGAATTGGTTGCTCTGCACCTGCACCTGCCTATTGCAAATGATGCAGAAGTGTTAAGAAGGCTACAAAATGATTGCGAGGTCATAAAGCACATCAAAACAAGAAAGCTGGAATATTTAGGCCACATTACCAGAGGTGCGAAATATGAGATATTAAGGCTCATAATGCAAGGTAAAATCAGAGGTAAAAGATCCATAAGAAGACGAAGAATTTCCTGGCTCAGAAACCTAAAAAGTGATATAGTTGCAGCTCAGTAGATATTTTTAGAGCAGCCGCCAATAAGGTACGATAGCTGTGATGATAGCCAACCTGCGATAGGAGAAGGAACGACAAGAAGAAGAAGATATAATCCTAAACCCATTTACCCTAAGGTGTCGGGTGTAATGTCTTTAGTTAGTTGCATGTACAATTTTTCTCTATTGCTTCTTATTATTTGCTTGCTTTCTTGTTTGTTCTTTGCTGATTCCTCGTGTCTCTAAGATTGAGGTTACATTATCATCTCATGTCTTCATTGGCTTGTCCCTTGGTCTCTTGGTTTGTCTTCTGGTTTCCCATACTTTTTTAATTGGTCTGTCTTGATTCATTCTAACCATGTGTCCATACCATCTCAGTTGGGCCTCTTCAATTTTCTTAATAATTGGTTGGTCCTTGATCTCTGACTGCCTCATTTCTAATCCTGTCTTACCTGGTTATACCCAGTATTCTTCTATGAAACTTCAGTTCTATGCTCTGTATTTTCGATTTTAATTTATCAGTAAGCGTCCAACTTTCACTACCAAAAGTTAAAATCGGCACAAACACCGTCTTGTATATGGTCACTTTGGCTTTTTGGGATACTTCTTTTTTCGACAAAAACGTACTTTTAATTGCGTGGTACATCCGAGCAGCACTTTCTATTCTGGAACTTATTTCAGTTTCTTCAGTTCCTCTGTTCTCTATTTGTACTCCCAAGTATTTGTAAGTATCGACTTGTTCAAGTGTATTTCCGTTAAGTGTTATCTTCGTTTGTTTTCTATTTTTTCCACATACCATTACTTTCGTCTTCTCATTATTGATCCTCAAATTTCGTTTAATTAGTGCAGCGTTCCATACTTGTAAATTTCGATTGAGTGCTTCTTCATTTATCCCAAATATCACTAGATCGTCTGCGTATGCACACTCTGAGATCCACACTGCATCTAGATTTCTATGTCCGGCATATAATTTCAATGTTTCTGCTCTAGTTTCTTTAATTATGTCATCCAAGACAATGTTAAACAGTATGGGACCTAGGACTCCTCCTTGACGTAGACCCTCATTTACTATGAACTCTTCGGATTCCATAATATCGGTTCTGATTCTGTTCCTTGTATGTCTATATATACTCATAATGGCTTGCCTGAGTTTGATTTTCACACCTTTCTTTTTTAAACATATGTCAATCACCTTCCTTGGAGTACTATCAAATGCCTTTTCTAAGTCTATAAAGGCTTGGTATAACTCAGTGCTTGAGTTCCGTGCGTTTTGTATTGGTTTCTTGATAGTAAAAATGTGATCTTTGATGCTTCTGCCTTTTCTAAATCCACCTGTGATTGTTCTATTTTAATATCAACTTCTTGTTAAAGACGTTTTTTTAGTATTCTCATATACTTTGGATGGGATGCACAGTAGTGTTATTCCTCTGTAGTTACTATATTTTCGTCTATCTCCCTTTTTGAAAATGGATAGAATAACTCCCAGTTCCCAATCTTTTGGTATTTGGCTCTCACTCCATGGACAATGGACAATTCGACAATGAGCTAAGGACAACAGCTCCCTAGGAGGATGCTCAATGGGTCAATTGTAGCCTAAATGCTGTGAGAGTTGACTCGCCCTCACTATATGGATATTTTTTCTTATCTTACTCGAATGTCTTCTCTTATTGAAGATTAGCAAAAATTTTGGAAAATTCTTGTCTATTTTGGGTCTTTCTCAATGAAGCATTTGAACCCAAACCTGCCTATTCTCGAATATTCTTTAGCCAGGAGTACTGTCTGTAGTTTGGCCATCTTATAACGTCGATATTATCCTCTACTATAATAGAAGGGCATTAGAAATTCGTACCTATAGTGGCTCGTTATAAATATGATCAAAATACAGTTGTTTATTTTTGAATTATTTTAATGAGGTCATGATCTTCATTTATTGGGAACAGTTTTGGAACATCTAAGTTGATAGTGACACCAATGGAAAATTAATCATTGACACCCAAGAGATGAAAGACAAATGGAGAATATATTTGGAGACACTTTTTCAAGATCAAAGAACGGATTATAGGCATCCATTTTCAGAGAGGATGACGGGCCCGGACATACTTAAATCCGAGGTATAAGAAGCAATAAAACGGATGAAAAGCAGGAAAGCTGTAGGGCCTCATAATATCGAAGCTGAATTTTTAAAACTCTTGGAGGAAGAAGGAATAAATTGGATCACGGCTGTCTTCAATAAAATATACAATACAGGAACCATCCCTGATAAATGGCTAGAATCAGAATTCATAGCGATACTTTAAAAACATTGGGCTAAAAAGTGCGAAGAATATCGAACAATCAGCCTAATGAGCCACATGTTGAAACTGTTTCTTAGAGTCATCTATGGAAGAATTTATAAGAAGTGCGAGGAACAAATATCGGACAGACAGTTCGGCTTCATTAACGCAGTGGGTACCAGAGAGGCACTTTTCGGAGTACAGGCACTGATTCAAAGATGCAGACTGAGTATACGCGTGCTTGATCGACTATGAGAAGGCATCAAAAGATGATAAACATTTTAAAAGAGGCAGACCTGGATGACAAAGACCTCAGAATAATTTCAGAACTCTACTGGAATCAGACCGCATACATGAAAATTAACGGAGAAGAAATAGATCACATAAAAATACTACGTGGAGTTAGACAGGGATGTATCCTATTGCCGTTGATATTTAATATGTACTCAGAGAAAATTTTTAACGAGGCTCTTTACGGAATAGACGAAGCATCCTTCTAAATGGTGAAAGAGTAAACAATGTTAGATATGCCGACGACACCATGGTGATAGCAGATAGTTTAGAGGTACTTCAGAGGCTAATGGACAGAATAAACGAGTACAGTCAACAGTACGGACTAAACATTAATACCCACAAAACGAAACAAATGATAATCAGCAAGGAGAATATAAACGGGGCTCATCTATACATTAATGGGACGCAGATAGAGCGAGTAAAACAGTATTGCTACCTGGGAACTGCTATAAACGAACAGTGGAGCAATGTTCAGTAAATAAAGTGCCGCATAAGAAAGGCAAGAACGGTCTTTAACAAAATGAGCGCCATCTTCAAAAGTCACAACATATCCCTAGATACAAAAATGAGACATTTGAGATGCTATATTTTCTCTGTGTTGTTGTACGGGGCGGAGGCATGGACGCTTACAGACACCACTATTAAAAAACTTGAAGCATTTGAGATGTGGCTTTATAGAAGAATGCTGAGAATATCATGGACAGCAAGGATCACGAACAAGGAAGTTCTAGGAAAAATGAAGAAGGAACCAGAGATTGTGTTTACGATCAAACGCATAAAATTGCAATATTTGGGACACGTTATGAGAAATCAGCACCGTTACTCCCTGCTGCAGTCTATATTGCAAGGTAAAGTCAAAGGTAAGCGAGGATCCGGTAGAAGGAGAATATCATGGCTGCGGAATTTAAGAACATGGTTTAAGAAAACCTCAACGGAGCTGTTTCGAGCCGCAGCGAGCAAGGTTATGATTGCCAATATGATTTCCAACATCCGAAACGGATAGGAACCAGAAAAAGAAGAAGTTGATAGTGTGGATAGTCCGAAGTGCTTGTAATGTTTATCGGTGCATCCAGATTTGTATTTAAATCCAAGCTCAGATTTTTTATAACAACCGTTAAAAATTCCATTTTCAAATTTAGTTCTTCACTTGCGTTTTCATAAAATTATTTTAAGAATTGTTGATTTTTTGGAAGCTCTAGTCTTTTTGATATTTTTAACCCTTTACAGATATAAAAGTTTTCGATTTTATCAAATGTCTACATACTACGACACACCACTGATCTTATACAATCTTAAATGAAGAGCTAGCGACAAATTGTGCAACGGAAAATAGAACATCAAGAACGCAGACACATTAAAAATATGAGTAAGTACCAATAGTTCGTAGGTACCTACATCACGTTCTATCCTGAATATGCACGTATTCATTTCAGCAAAATAGAATTACTGATAATCTACATGTAAATCTGAAAATCTTTGCAAAACTGTAATAACTATAAATTTTTCTGCACTTGTACAGAACCGTATTTATCAAACAATTGACTATCCATTCATCGGTACCTTAGAGTAGGGAATTTTACACGTCAAACGGCAGTTGACGTGTAAGATTCCCTACTCTAAGATCAATACAATATG